AAAAAACTAAAAATTTAAAAATTCGAAAAATTGAAAAATTAAAACACTGAAAAACTGAAAACTCGAGAAATCGAAACTCCAAAATCGAAAAATTGAAGAAACGAAATATTGAAAAATCATAAAACTGAAATATTGAAAAACAGGGCAAAGGAAAAACATTGAAAAACTTAAAAATTCCAAAACGGAAAAATTGAAAAATCGGGAAATCAAAGTCGTAAAATAAAATAAGTGGAAAATCAAAAACTTGAGAAATTGAAAAAGTGTCAAAGTGAAACTGCATAAGATACTGAAAAATTCCAAAACTAAAATGACGAAAAATTGGGAAATCGAAAAATTGTACCATCGGAAAATTCAAAAACTGAAAAATCGATTTACGTCAAAATCGTAAATCGTAAAGTTAAAAATCGAAAATTTGAAAAATTTAAAAAAATAGATAAATCGAACCATCGAATCCTCGATAAATGGAAAAATTTTTAAATTTTAAAAATGAAAAATTGAAAAACTGAAAAATCTAACACTAAGAAGTAGAAAACTTGGAAGATCGAAAACTTGAAACAAAAAACTATGAAAACTAAAATTCAAAATTTTGAAAAATTGAAAAATGAAAACACCGAAAGCCTGGAAAATCGAAAAATCGTAACATTGAAAAATTCAAAAACTGAAACATCAAGAGATCGAAACATCAAAAGATCGAAAAATCGGAACATCAAAAGATCGGGAAATGGAGAAATAGAAAAGTGGAGTGTTCTAAAATCTAAAAATTGAAGATTCGAAATAGGTCAAAATCGTAAATCGTAAACTTAGAAACCGAAAATTTGAAAAATTAATAAAAATCAATAAATGGAACCATCGAAACCTGGATAAATTGAGAAATCTAAAAATTTAAAAAACGAAAAAATTGAAAAACTGAAAAATCTAACACCGAGAAGTCGAAAACTCGGAAGATCAAAAAATCGAAACAAAAAACTAAGAAATCTAAAATCCAAAAATTGAAACATCGAGAAAACGAAACATCAAAAGATCGAGAAATCGGAATATCAAAAGTTCGGGAAATGGAGAAACAGAAAAGTGGAGTGGTCGAAAATTCTAAAAATTGAATCGAATTGGGTCAAAATCAAATCGTAAAATTCAAAATTGAAAAATTAAAAAAAAATCGATAAACCGAAACAGCGAAACCTCGATAAATCACGAAATCTAAGAAACTTAAAAATAGAAAAATTGAAAAACTGAAAAATCCAACACTGAGAAGTCGAAAAATCGGAAGAGCCAAACAAAAAACTAAAAATTTAAAAATTCGAAAAATTAAAAAATTAAAACACTGAAAAACTGAAAACTCGAGAAATCGAAACTCCAAAATCGAAAACTTGAAAAAACGAAATATTGAAAAATCAAAATATTGAAAAATCATAAAACTGAAATATTGAAAAACAGGGCAAAGGAAAAACATTGAAAAACTTAAAAATTCCAAAACCGAAAAATTGAAAAATCGGGAAATCAAAGTCGTAAAATAAAATAAGTGGAAAATCAAAAACTTGAGAAATTGAAAAAGTGTCAAAGTGAAACAGCATAAGATACTGAAAAATTCCAAAACTGAAATGACGAAAAATTGGGAAATCGAAAAATTGTACCATCGGAAAATTCAAAAACTGAAAAATCGATTTACGTCAAAATCGTAAATCGTAAAGTTAAAAATCGAAAATTTGAAAAATTTAAAAAAATAGATAAATCGAACCATCGAAACCTCGATAAATCGAAAAATTTTAAAATTTTAAAAATGAAAAATTGAAAAACTGAAAAATCTAACACTAAGAAGTAGAAAACTTGGAAGATCGAAAACTCGAAACAAAAAACTATGAAAACTAAAATTCAAAATTTTGAAAAATTGAAAAATGAAAACACCGAAAGCCTGGAAAATCGAGAAATCGTAACATTGAAAAATTCAAAAATTGAAACATCAAGAGATCGAAACATCAAAAGATCGAAAAATCGGAACATCAAAAGATCGGGAAATGGAGAAATAGAAAAGTGGAGTGTTCTAAAATCTAAAAATTGAAGATTCGAAATAGGTCAAAATCGTAAATCGTAAACTTAGAAACCGAAAATTTGAAAAATTAATAAAAATCAATAAATGGAACCATCGAAACCTGGATAAATTGAGAAATCTAAAAATTTAAAAAATTAAAAAATTGAAAAACTGAAAAATCTAACACCGAGAAGTCGAAAACTCGGAAGATCAAAAAATCGAAACAAAAAACTAAGAAATCTAAAATCCAAAAATTGAAACATCGAGAAAACGAAACATCAAAAGATCGAGAAATCGGAATATCAAAAGTTCGGGAAATGGAGAAACAGAAAAGTGGAGTGGTCGAAAATTCTAAAAATTGAATCGAATTGGGTCAAAATCAAATCGTAAAATTCAAAATTGGAAAATTAAAAAAAAATCGATAAACCGAATCAGCGAAACCTCGATAAATCACGAAATCTAAGAAACTTAAAAATAGAAAAATTGAAAAACTGAAAAATCCAACACTGAGAAGTCGAAAAATCGGAAGATCCAAACAAAAAACTAAAAATTTAAAAATTCGAAAAATTGAAAAATTAAAACACTGAAAAACTGAAAACTCGAGAAATCGAAACTCCAAAATCGAAAAATTGAAGAAACGAAATATTGAAAAATCATAAAACTGAAATATTGAAAAACAGGGCAAAGGAAAAACATTGAAAAACTTAAAAATTCCAAAACCGAAAAATTGAAAAATCGGGAAATCAAAGTCGTAAAATAAAATAAGTGGAAAATCAAAAACTTGAGAAATTGAAAAAGTGTCAAAGTGAAACAGCATAAGATACTGAAAAATTCCAAAACTGAAATGACGAAAAATTGGGAAATCGAAAAATTGTACCATCGGAAAATTCAAAAACTGAAAAATCGATTTACGTCAAAATCGTAAATCGTAAAGTTAAAAATCGAAAATTTGAAAAATTTAAAAAAATAGATAAATCGAACCATCGAAACCTCGATAAATCGAAAAATTTTAAAATTTTAAAAATGAAAAATTGAAAAACTGAAAAATCTAACACTAAGAAGTAGAAAACTTGGAAGATCGAAAACTCGAAACAAAAAACTATGAAAACTAAAATTCAAAATTTTGAAAAATTGAAAAATGAAAACACCGAAAGCCTGGAAAATCGAGAAATCGTAACATTGAAAAATTCAAAAATTGAAACATCAAGAGATCGAAACATCAAAAGATCGAGAAATGGGAACATCAAAAGATCGGGAAATGGAGGGGAATTCGGTCAAAATCAAATCGTAAAATTAACAATTGAAAAATTAAAAAATTAAAAAAAAATCGATAAACCGAAACAGCGAAACATCGATAAATCTCGAAATCTAAGAATCTTAAAAATGGAAAAATTGAAAAACTGAAAAATCCAACACTGAGAAGTCGAAAAATCGGAAGATCCAAACAAGAAACTAAAAATTGAAAAATTCGAAAAATTGAAAAATTAAAACACTGATAAACTGAAAACTCGAGAAATCGAAACTCCAAAAAATTGAAAAATTGAAAGATCGAAAAGCCGGAAAATTGAAAAATTGAAGAAACGTAATATTGAAAAATCAAAAAATTGAAAAATGGAAGACCCATTGATGAAACGAAAAACTGAAAAATCGAAAAATCGGAAATTCGAAAAATCTAAAATTTAGAAAAATCGAAGACTTAAGAAATCAAAACTTGCAAGTGGAGAAATTCACAGATGGGAAAATAAAAAAATCAATTAATCGAGAAATTGAGAAATCGAAAAATTGAAGAGACGAAAAATTGAAACATGGGACAACTGAGAAACCAAAAAATGAAAAAAATCTAGAAATCAAAAATTTGAAATAAAGAATCCCAACACTGAAATAGTGAAAAATTGTGTATCGAAAAATTGAAACTCTAGAAACTGCAAAATAGAAAAATTCAATAAAACACCTAGAAAATCCCAAAACTGAAAATCGAAGCATTCAGAAATCTAAAATTGAAAAATCGAGACATCGAAAATTTGAAAAAATCGAACAATTGAAGAATCGAAAAATTGGAAAACTTAAAAACTGAAAAACAGAGCTAGCCTACGCTGTGAAAGTAGAGACTATTCTGGCAAATCTTAACCAAGAAATGGTTAACACAGAGATTTCGAGAAAATTCTGAAACCCTGGGAAGCCGGAAGTTATATTCAAGAGACATTTTAATCAAAGACAAGATATCCCGTTCCCATTTCCCAAACATTCCACAACTGAAGACACTTTACAAGACAAGAACGTAAAAACAAAACAATTGGAATTAGTGATGACAGTGCAGAGAACTGGAGAAAAATTAAGATTAACCAACAAAATAAAAATCTTCTAAAGACTACAAGAAACATATCTAAGTCTATTAATCCCAACTATTTGGAAGAGTAGATGAAGTCCGCTCCAATCTTTGGGGTCACAGCATTGAAAAGACAAGAAAAATTTAATTGATTGGCTAAATTGCGCTTTCGCTAGTTCGTTGTCCGACAACCGGGTCCGCAAGGAATAAATTGCACAGACTTTTATTTTGTCGCTCATAATTCCATCTACGACGATTGTAATGAAATGATGCAAACGTTACGAAACTATCACACGTTTCACGTAGTTAATCGGTTGACGAAACCGCCGTTGTCCTAAAAAGAAGCTCAACGATGAGAAACACCGTCGCTTATTTATCGCCCGGAGGACTTTTTCGCTATTACAACTTAATAAATCAAAACCGCTTAAATAAATCAGTTTTTTTTTATTGCACCTGCACCACAACGCCGAGTAAACACCATCCCGTCGCCAAAAGTTGACGTGTCCAATTAAGCCAGCGAGCGCGCCTGATTACGTCCAATTGATTTTCCCATTGTTACTCAGCCGTTCTCCGGGCAGTGGCGCCGCAACTACCGCTCATAAATATGCAAATGCTGGCGATTTTTTCCTGCAAAGAAGACGTTTCGCTCACCTTTAGCGTCTCCCGAACTAGCTTGGCATGGATCCTGCAACAAGAAAAAAGCTCACAAACTGCTGAAAAAAATTAAAACTCGAACAGTCGTGATCTTGTCTAACCGTATCGCGATAAACAAGCCCGATAAATCTAATTTTGATTGTTTCGTGCCGTTGGAAAGTTGGATTTAATTTAGTGGTCCATTAAGTACGATCACAATGTAACTATTATGGAGTTTTCATGGGCGATGCATAACGAGCGAGAGGGTGAAAAATCCAGGTCGCCCACGACGTAGACACATTCACTTATTGTTCGAGAGAAAAGTTTCGCCGTCATTTGTATGACTGGTAATGTGTCTTGTTGCAAAGCGGAGGAAATGTTAGTCGATAATCCATCAGCTCGGAATCGGGGACTCGTACTCGAGGCGTAATTAGACATAATTATGACGAGAGCGACGCAAGTCATCGTGGGCACGTCAAAGACAAATGCGCCTTTGTTTGGGGTTTCACTCTCGGTCTAGACGGAGTGGATTCTGAGAAGGCGAGATTTTTTTCAATCAACAAATTGTGCGCGCTTTATTTTTAGACCCACCGCTTAGACCCATCCGTTACTAGCATCCACTCTGATCTACTTGTGCTAACCTAGTTTGATTAACACGATGGGACTGTTCGAGAACGCGGTACCGTCACGACCGTCGCCTAATCAATCTCCATCCGTACGGGCTATTTTGACCGCAATCGTTCTCTTATCGCTCTCGATCGAACCTTTTCCGCTTTTCTGTTCTGACAGCTCTGAATCTCCCATCGCGCCGGCCCATCTGGTACATACATCCCATGGCGTGTCAGCCTTACACAATATTCGCATATCTACACGTTCGAGGCGAGAGGTGTGAACAATATCCATTAGTTTGAAAGAGGCAACGTCATGTAAATTTCGTAGCTTCGTTTCGACTTTATCGATATAATTAATGATGTATCGAATCGGAGGTATGCACAAGACGCTTCCTTGTGGTGTTCCTGTCAAAACAAGCATTGTAGAATCAGGCTCGGAACATAACGGCCGCTTTCGCTGACAGATTTAAATAAAACGTCTGTCTTCCTAGACAATCTACAAATAGCGTGGATGCTGGGAGCGAACGCTGGGATAATTGATGAGGGAAGTCGATACCAGGAAAAGTCGGGGGGCAAAGATGCGGGCGGCAAAGTGGATGGGAAGGACTACGAAAAAAATTGGTCGAAGGTTATTTCCACAGAATTTCCCTCGCCGCTGAAGTACCTACTTCTATTTGCAGTCTTTTAATTTTCCAACTTTTGAATTTTGCAATTTTTCGATCCGAGTTTTCAATTTTTCATTTTTCAACTTGCAATTTTTCGTTTCGGTTTATTATTTTCCTTATTTTTTCAATTATTTGATTTTTCAAGGTACGGATCTTATAATTTTTTGATTTTTCCAATTTCAATTTTTTTCAGTTTTTCGTTTCTTCAGTTTTTCGATTAGTTATTTTTCTATTTTTCATTTTTTTGCGAAAAATTGTAAAATCGAAAAGTCGAAAAACCGAAACATCGAAAAATTCAAAATCTAAAACACCGACAAATGGAAAAGTCGAGGAGGCGAAATACTTAAAAATTGAGATATTGAAATAGGCCAAAAGCGAAAAATCGAAAAGTTAAAAATTGAAAAATTTGAATTAAAAAAATCGATAAATCGAAATCTCGATAAATCGGGAAATCGAAAAAAGAAAAATTGAAAAATCGAAAAATTTAAAAACCGAAAAACTGAAAATTCGAATGATCAAAAACTTAAAAAATGAAAATATTGAAAAATCGAGAAATCGAAACATCAAGAAACTGAAAAATCTCAAATTTCAAAAATTGGAAAAACTGAAAAATAGAATAATCAATATTGAACAATCATAAAACTGAAATATCGAGAAACTGAAAAAAGGAAAAAAAAATGATAAAATGAAAAATCAAAAAATTCCAAAACTGAACCACTGAAAAATTGAGAAATTGAAAAATCGGAAAAGTGGAATGACGAAAAGTTGGGAAATCGAAATATTGAAAAATCGAAAAATCGTAACAAAAAGTGAGAAGTCGAATTAGGTCAAAATCGTAAATCGTAAAGTTAAAAATTCAAAAATTAAAAAAAATCGATAAACCGAAACATGAAATCCTCGATAAATCGAGAAATCAAAAAATTTAAAAACGGAAAAATGGAAAAATTGAAAGATCGGGAAATCGAAATAAAAAACTAAAAAATCTAAAATTTAAAAATTCGAAAAATTGAAAAATTATTAAATTAAAAAAACGAAAAATAAAAAAGTTGGAAAATCAAAAAATTGAAGAAAAGAAATTTTGAAAAATCTCAAAACTGCAACATAAAAAAGTTGAAAAATGGAAGAAAAACTAATGAAACTAAAAACTGAAAACTCAAAAACTTGAAAAGTGGAGAATTTTCCAACTTTTGAATTTTTCAATTTTATGATTTTGCAATTGTTGGATTTGAGTTGCTAGAGTTTTCAAATTTAATTTTTCATTTTGGAATTTTTCGTTTCTGTATTTTCCTTATTTTGTCAATTATTCGTTTTTTCAATGTTTCGATTTTATAATTTTTTATTTTTTCAATTTCAATCTTTTCATTTTTTTCGTTTCTTCAGTTTTTCGATTAGTTATTTTTCTATTTTTAATTTTTTTGCGAAAAATTGTAAAATCGAAGAGTCGAAAAACCGAAACATCGAAAAATTCAAAATCTAAAACACCGACAAATCGAAAAGCCGAGGAGGCGAAATACTTCAAAATTGAGATATTGAAATAGGCCAAAAGCGAAAAATCGAAAAGTTAAGAATTGAAAAATTTGAATTAAAAAAATCGATAAATCGAAATCTCGATAAATCGGGAAATCGAAAATTTTAAAAACCGAAAAACTGAAAATTCGAATGATCAAAAACTTAAAAAACGAAAATATTGAAAAATCGAGAAGTCGAAAAATCGAGAAATCGAAACATCAAGAAATTGAAAAATCTCAAATTTCAAAAATTGGAAAAATTGAAAAATAGAATAATCAATATTGAACAATCATAAAACTGAAATAACGAGAAATTGAAAAAAGGAAAAAAAAAAATGATAAAATGAAAAATCAAAAAATTCCAAAACTGAACCACTGAAAAATTGAGAAATTGAAAAATCGAAAAAGTGGAATGACGAAAATTTGGGAAATCGAAATATTGAAAAATCGAAAAATCGTAACAAAAAGTGAGAAGTCGAATTAGGTCAAAATCGTAAATCGTAAAGTTAAAAATACAAAAATTAAAAAAAATCCATAAACCGAAACATGAAATCCTCGATAAATCGAGAAATCAAAAAATTTAAAAACCGAAAAATGGAAAAATTGAAAGATCGGGAAACCGAAATAAAAAACTAAAAAATCTAAAATTTAAAAATTCGAAAAATTGAAAAATTATTAAATAAAAAAAGCGAAAAATAAAAAAGTTGGAAAATCGAAAAATTGAAGAAAAGAAATTTTGAAAATCTCAAAACTGCAACATAAAAAAGTTGAAAAATGGAAGAAAAATTAATGAAACTAAAAACTGAAAACTCAAAAACTTGAAAAGTGGAGAATTTTCCAACTTTTGAATTCTTCAATTTTATGATTTTGCAATTGTTGGATTTGAGTTGCTAGAGTTTTCAAATTTAATTTTTCATTTTGGAATTTTTCGTATCTGTATTTTCCTTATTTTGTCAATTATTCGTTTTTTCAATGTTTCGATTTTATAATTTATTTTTTCAATTTCAATCTTTTGATTTTTTCGTTTCTTCAATTTTTCGATTTGCAATTTTTAATTTTTTCATTTTTTTGAGAAAAACTGTAAAATCCAAAAGTCGAAAAACCGAAACATCGAAAAATTCCAAAATTGAAACATCGAGAAATAGATACATGAAAAGATCGAGAAATCAAAACATGAAGAGATCCAGAAATCGAAAAATAGGAAAGTCGAGAAGTATAAATATCTAAAAATTGAAAAATTGAAATAGGCCAAAAGCGAAAAATCGAAAAGTTAAAAATTGAAAACTTTGAATTAAAAAAAATCGATTAATCGAAAAATTTAAAAACCGAAAAATTGAAAAATGGACATATCAAGGGAAAATCGAGAAACTGCCAAAGTGAAACTGAATAAATACTGAAAAACTGTAAAACTGGAATGAGGAAAAATTGGGAAATCGAAATATTGAAAAATCGAAAAATCGTAACATTGAAAATTTCAAAAACCGAGAAGTCGAATTAGGCCAAAATCGTAAACTGTAAATTTGAAAACTGGAAAGTTAAAAAAATCGGTAAATCGAAACATGGAAACCTCGATAAATCGGGAAATCTAAAAACCGAAAAATTAAAAAATCGAAAGATCAAAAAAAAATTTTAAAATGGAAAAATTGAAAAATCTAAAACCAAGAAGTCGAAAATTCGAAAGATCGGGATATTGAAATAAAAAACTCAAAAATCTAAAATTTAAAAATTCGAAAAATTGCAAATTTTTAAAAAAGCGAAAAATAAAAAAGTTGGAAAATCGAAAAATTGAAGAATAGATATTTTGAAAAATCTCAAAACCGAAACATCAAAAAATTGAAAAATGGAAGAAAAATTGATAAAACTAAAAACTGGAAAAATCAAAAACTTAAAAAATGGAGAAATCCACAAATGGAAATCAATTTTCCAATTTTTGAATTTTTCGAGTTGCAATTTTTCGTTTCAATTTTTTATTTCCCTGATTTTGTCAATTAGTCGATTTTTCAATGTTTCGATTTCATAATTTTTTGTTTTTTAATTTCAATTTTTTCAGTTTTTTGTTTCTTCAATTTTTCGATTGCATTTTTCAATTTTTCAATTTTTTTCTAAAAAAACTGTAAAATCCAAAAGTCGAAAAACCGAAACATTGAAATATTCAAGAACTGGAACATCGAGAAATCGAAATATGAAAAGATCGACAAATCGAAACATCAAGAGATCGAAAAAAGGAAAGTCGAGGAGTGGAAATATCTAAAAATTGAGAAATTGAAA